AACTGGAGGTATGAGTGCTGTTAAAACAGCTGTGATGGCCCCAAATGTTTTTAGGTTTTTCATGTTCTATTTCTTTTGCAGAGGAAGAGCGCTGCTCCTTTTTCTCATTTCAAGTCCTAATGTTACACCTTACAGCTAAGATTTTGATGTAGTGTGAAGTGAAAATGACAGTGGAATGTTCTAATGTTTCCTTATTTTATTCCTTTGGACCAAAGTGCATTTGTTACTGCCTGATTTGTATGCAGTCTGCTGTCTCTCCAGCTGTTTTTCCTTTAATTTTTTAAAAAAATTAAAATTAAAGGATTCTTTTAAAGTTCTTAAATCCCTGGAAATCCTGAAACAGGGATGAATGTTGAGGTGCAGATAGCAAGACCCTAACCTCTTTCATAGTGTGTCTTTAAATGTGTGTTCTTGCACATTTAAACTACAGAAAAAAAGCCTTAGCAACACTGTTGCAATAGAGCCACAGTCAGAAGTTCAAATGAAAATCCTCAAATTAGAGTTTTAAGTTATAAATTATCTGGCTATGAATTTTTTTTTTTTTTCTGATTTGCTCTCAGTGGAAGGCTGGGCTTATTTCCAAAGCTGAGGTGAAAACAGAGCTTTTTTTCTTGTAAAAAAGAAAAAAAAATGTAAAGGGTTATTTTGTGTTTTTTAAAAAAAAGGCTTTATTTTCATATCCTATGCATTCAACAGATGTTAATCTTAATGAAGAATATATCTGGGGATTTATTTTTAGTAATATGTATATAGAAATACTGAAAAAAATTAAAAGCCAAATGGAAGTCCTCTTTCATGTTTTTCATTTATATCAAAGGTGAATAAGCATTTCACTAAGCTGTTTGTCATTTGTCAGTGTGTGTTTTCCCATTCGCTTCACTGGAGAAAAGGTGCTTAGAGTTTGCTTTCTGCTGCTGTTATGGGGGTTTGTATATATAATGATACTTGAGGATTTAGACAAAACCGAGACTAGTTTGAAGTTTGCTCACAAAGATATAAGTCTGTACAGATTTACTTCATATTGTTTGTTTGACACATTAACTCCTGCCTAATACCGAGGTGAGTTGGCCACTGTGAAGCTGGCAGTAGTTCACGTAGTTGTGTATAGTCGAACTGACTGTTAAGTAGTCTGTGCATCACTTATCCACATGCCTGTATGTCAAAGAAAGGCGGGAAGTAGATGAGCATGCAATTAATATTAGAAATCTTTCTTTCTTACTTTACTTTGTATTCGAATTATTCGTTCAACTAACATCTGCCTTACTTTGACTACCTATTTGTGTCTTCTAAAAACTGCAGTGCAACTGAGCATCCATTTGAGGGGTATTAACAGCTTTCAAAACTGTCTGGTTGTTCTTAGACTATTAAAATAATAATAATAAAAAGGCACAGAAACATTCTTGAGCTTGTATTCTGTTTCCAGAAGGGGGGTGGGAGGAAGAGGAAATCTATTATTTAAGACAGAAATACAGCCAGTGTGATAAAAGTGCCTTCCCACGTCTTCTGGTCAGGTTCTACGTGCATATAAATGTTTCACGTTAAGCTTTAAGATCAAGGACAAGTCTGTAGGGAACCTTGTTTCCTGGGGATCTGCTTGCAAGACTAGCTCCCAAGTACTGACTTCCCATTTTTTATTTGGTTATTAAGGATGAAAGGCTACATCATTTTCCGGAATAGCAGTTCCTTGCATGACATTATCTTTGTCCACAGCTATGAAACATGCATTTCCATAGGTTCATGTGGATACTTAGCTTAATTCAGCTCAGCTACTATGACTGCTGCTTTATACATGTTTAATTTAAAGGATCACCTTTATATCATGTTGTAGAGTGAACAAAAGATATGTGGTTCAATAGTTGAGAAACTGTCTCTTTATAATGGGTCTCCAGCCTATGTACCTCAGAGCTCTCTCTGTTGTGAAGACAAAACACTGGAAGTCTAATTTTCTCAAATAACTCATTCTTGTCAATGTGTTTATGTATATGCAGCCTTGCAAGTGTAAATCACCAGTATGAAGTTTTGCGTACTACCAAATGTGTACAGAAACAGTGGAAAAAAATGCAAGTGAAACTTATTTGTACTAGATTACATAAGCAAATCATCCATAGTTTTAGACTTATTTTTCACAGCTTACCTGCATGAATATTGCTTCAACAAAAGACAAAGTCTTTAAAAAATAAAATAAATAAGACTGACATGATTAGCATGAGTGTTTAAAATACTCATATAACAAGCTTAGTAGATGTATCTTTGGCTTGGAAAAAAATTTCCTTTTAGTTACTCTATTTTGTTACTTGGCTATTTTTTATACTTCTCTTTAAACACTATCAACATGAATGCCTCTGAAGCTGGAATAAAACATTTGCATTTATTCTTCTTAAAATATCAGTAAACAATTCAAGCTGAAAAGCTCTTGCAAAATACTGAGCTATTACCAATATAAATAACACTAGCTGTGCTCAATCAGATGTAACATCACTGTAAGATGGTAAATGGCAATTACTTTCATATAAGGAGTATCAAAGATAGCACACTAGATTAGATGCAAATGGTTAGAATGGAACAAACCTTGCAAAACAATGTGAGACCTGGTAATTTACCAAGAATGTGAGTAAGCGTAGGTTTTCTTTCTTTTGCATAGTGCTGAAATATCCAATGTGTAGATCTTTCTCTTCCCTTGACCTACCTGTGTTTGAAGGTATTTCTTATCCATCAGGATGCCTGAAAGCAGTTGTGGAGATGCTTGGGAAGCAGATGATGCCAATCTGTTGTCTGGAAAATATGTACTTCTGCAAATTGTCTAACATGCCACTCATATCAAACATAAACTTAGCAAAGAATGATCTATATTCTGCACTCCTCACACATTGCTCCTGATCTCTTTCCTGCAGCCTCTAGGGGAGAGCAATCATGTTGCTCAAAACCAGACACAGGGTATTGTGTGGAAGAGGGAAAGTGTTTGAGCCTGTACCCTAATTTTGATTGCAGGACCCAAATGCCCATACACTTAAGTGTATATGTATGAGTACACCTTTATATAAAACTCTAGCTTCGAACTCTTCTGACATAGATGTACAGACATATGCATTTTGGCATCCTTCTCCTGAAATATATGAACTGATTTCTGGTGTGATGTTCCTTTTTGAAAAGTGAGAACTTCTAAAGGAAAGAAAGGAACATTTATTTGAAAGTAAACGTAGCAGAACTAATAATCCCAAGCATCTGCAATTTTTACATTAAATTCACTTGGAATTTAATGTAAATTGAAGCTTTTCTTGTTTGGTGTTTCCAAACCTACCTGTGACTTTTTTCTTTGTTTGTTTGTTTGTTTATCAGGAACTTTATTATAGAATTCCTAAAAATTGAAGGTAACTTATTGGTCTGTATAAATGTGATTAAAAGGAATTTTCCATGCAAACATATGAAAGTAATAGGAAGAAAAGGGAGTAAGTGCAACTATTCACAGTGAAAATGAGACAAAACCACAAGGATTTGATAAGTTGTTATCTGGTAATTGCATACATCATTTTGAAAAGCTCTTGTGAGATATTGCATAAAAAGCTGCTTAGATCAGATAAGAATTTATTTTCAGATCTTGCTCTTGCATTGCCTTTTATATAATGCACTGCCCATGGAGAGCATTATTGACTTTTGTTTACCTTGCTAATTAAAAAAGTAACATCTGGAAAAGTTTTGTTTTGACTCCTTGTTTCTGCGCTGGAAAATCTGAGGCTTAGCCAGCTAAACTGAGCTAACTATATCTAGCTTTACCAAAGTTATTCTATTTCTCCATCTGCTCTTACTTACAGCACTTTTATATAAAATACAATGAATTTCATTAGAATGTTTTCTTAAGATGGAAACTAACTGAAGGACTTTCAAGTAGCAAAAGATAAAAATGTGATTTAAATTCATCTAGTTGAGAGGACAAGCACAGATAAAAGCACAGTAAACAGGAGATTAATAGCCTTGGCGCAGGAAGCAGATCAGCTTGGTCTGCTGCCCTGGCAGCCCTTCTCCTAGGTCTTTGCAATGAGTAACTTGAGTTCAGATACTGTTAGAATGTTTCAGGTGAGGAGAGTTACTGGAAACAGTCAAAGGCTAAGATTTCAAAGAATCATGGCCTCTGATCAGAAAAATCTTAGACTCGTGGATAAATGTCCATTAACAAAAATGAACTGTTACACTTTTACTCCCTATTTAGCAAAGCATTTGCTTGTTTTTGTGGATTGAAGAATGTGTTTAAATGCTGCACTAGGGAAAACATATAATCTGATGATAGCACTTTTCTTGCTCTGCTTGTGGCATCAGGATACACCTCCGTAGACTTTCTGAGAATTTCAACTCAGAAAATCTATTTTTGTGGGGACCTGAAATACTTTGCTCTGTACTTCTAACAGTTTGTTTTGTGGTGGGGAATGTTTTGCTTACTTCAGTGTACTTTTAAGTGCTTCGTGGCCTGACGTAAACTGAGTATTTAGAAGGCAGTTCGGAGCTTTCATGATTACACAGTGGTTGAATTGCTATCCAGTGTGAAAGTTCATGTCTTTATGTTATTTAATGTTTGTCTCTATATTTGTCCCCCCCCTTTTCACATGTATTCTCTTTTTGATTTTCTATATTTCTTCTTTTTCTTTTTTTCTCCTTTAGGAAGCTTTTCTAATTACAGTGAATATTCAACGTTTTTTTTTTTCTCTGGCTTCTGGTAATCCTAACAAATGCATCAAATACTTTTACTTCCAGTACTCTCTTATTACTAAAATCCTCTTCTCTTTCTCTTGTTTCTAAGCTCTTGAATTTTGATTCCGTTGTCTTTTCTCTGTCCCCTATTTTATCATTTGATCTTTATTTTCCTCCTTCACTTTTTGTCTTTCTGAATTTCCTTTTAATTGTTCCCACAGATGATTTTGTCTTCTTTCTCTGAAGTATTTCTGTTTGATTTCCCTTTTTCTGATTCATTGAAGCCTGAAAAAGATTTGTTTTTCTTTTTTTCTTCTTAGGTTCAGTAATCCTTCTCCCCTCTCAGAACTGTGGAGGAGCAAGGTGGAGCCTTGTACTTCCGAGAAAGGATATAAAGCTGCTGGCGTTTGCCCATCATAAGGAACAAGGACCTGCTCATAGGAAAAAAAAAAAAAGCAAAATGAAGAATCTCAGAGGAGCTGAAAACTGACTTTCCCTGAGGTGGAAAAAAAAATAGTAGTTTACACCATTTCAACAGATCCCAATTGCTCCAAGGTAAGCCTTGTTTACTGATAATGTAAGTGGCTTAGTGTGTCTACAACTGTGAAATTTAGAGCTGTTTACCAGGAGAAAGTGAAGTTTTAAAAGTAACATGCCTGCCTAGAAAGTGTACTGTGACATGCAGGGAGCTTGACTCCAGTCTGATACATTTTCATGCTTCCCCTGCAAATCGAAGCGCGTGGTCATTAACGCAGTAAATCACGGTAATGTGTTATGATCTGATCTGGCATTTATAAAGAAATAGAGTGTCTAGCCCTGGTTGCCTCTCCTACAGGTCATTTGTCCTAGTGGTAAAGAGAGTGGTTGTTCCCAAGAGAAGGGAAAGCTGCCCATTATGTCAGCTCACACCCTGGAAAAGGCTACTGATTTCAGTGCATCTGTTTGTGATGTGCCCTCTAAACGGGGTCAGTGTTATAACGGGTAGGAGAGAGCAGTTTCAGCCATGAGTGAGCACTCAGATAAATGGTGTAACTAACTCTTCAGAGATGAATATAAAGCGTACACAAGATGGCTTCTTTTGTATTCGCTTTAAAAAAAAAAAAGAAAACAATCATATATAATGTTTTTTTTTCAATCATTGATTTATATGCCACACAGATGAAAAGCAATATTCCTATGATGCCTTTATCAGTATTCTGACAAGGACTGCTTTCAAGTTAAAGACTGATAAAGAATGCCAACTTTTGACATTATTAGAACAGCCCTATCAGCTTTAATTCTCTTTTGTTTTCCTGTTGTCAAGGAAAGGCTGTTAGAGAGGAAATTATGATCTCAAATCGGTTAATCGAGTGACATGCACTTTTTTCCATAAATTGCCATGGCTGATCTTTAAAGCAGTATACAATCTCATTGCCAAGCAGGCTACAGAATATAGTAGAATTTGCAAATATCATATGTCATCAGTCTTTAGGCCAGTAATTCTCAAAGCAAGGTGAGCTGTCCACAATGTCACATTGTGGAATTAAATGCACAAACTCGTTTGTCTTCTTTGCCTGTACTTTCGTATGCAGTTTTCTGAGCATGCTAGAGACCGCTAGAGTGTGCTCAATTATAAGCCTGGTAGGAAGCGCACACAGTGGAGCATGGGGAGTGCTCAGGGTTGCTGGAAGTTTATTCTTTCCAGTAAATTAGGGAGCTTGTGCTCTTGTCATTGTAGATCAAAGTTAATTGACCTCATACCATTAGCATCAGCATACTTAAGGCACGGAGTTTACGCAAAGAGCCAGAGAATTTAAAACCGTAAAGTTTCATTTTTACTAGTCTGTCTGTGCACATAAATTTTGGCTTTGGGTGAGTAGTGTTTGTGCAGGCTCAGAAGATTTTATGTGAAAGTTAGTCGTGCACAGGCTCCAGTATATTCTGTTTCAAAGCAGTGTTTGCTTTTCTTCCTCTTTCTTCCATTTTTCTGATTTTCTTCTTTCTACGAATTTACTAGTAGCATGAATGATCACCCACAGCATTTTCTATAAAACATAATTGACAGCTAATAATACTCTGCACCTCTTTAGCCTGGCATAGTTGATGTTTTCAAAGCCTTTACAAACATTAGCTGAATCAAGTGTCACCCAATCAAGTAAGCTGGTATTATTCATGTATTTTGGCAGTTAAACTAGAAAACAAAATCAGTTTCCTTACGACCACAAGATGTTTGTGTGAAAGCTAAGAAGAGAACATGCATCTTCTGACATCTATTGCTATGCTCAACCATAGAAAGATTTTTTTTTCCATATACGAATATGATTATCATTGTGATTGAAGGATTGTGATTAACATTCTTTTGGGAATAGCTAATATGACTTCTTTATTTCTATACCAGAAGCTTTCAAGTATAATATATCATCCTGAGTACGTTATAATAGGACTGACACAAACAGAGAGTATGCTAAAAAATTCTTCTCTGAAGCTCAGCTGGATGTTAGCGCAAATGTATAAGGAAATATGTGAACTGAAAGAGAGAAACAAAGAATGGTAGAGAAAGGTGAGGAGATGCTGACAGAACCAGCATAAAATACAGAGAATGATAGGAAAAAATAGGAAGAAAGAGGAGACAGATTGGATTTATGCATATCCAGGATTAAGATGTGCAGAGGTACTATGCACAATGTAATAATTAGACAATATTTAGTAAAATAAATGTACAGTATCTGGAATCACAAAAGTTTGGAGTAAAAATACAGAAGGTGTTTCCTGTCGCAGTATGCATGGACTCTATTCTCACTTGTGCCTATTTTAAAATCATAATGGTAAGAGAATGGAAATATTCTGAATGTTCCACTGTTGTGATATGATAGTGCCATGTACTGGTGCTTATCAAATCACAGCAAATCCTGTATCTGCATGTTACTGGTGAATAGAAAAATATTCGGAAAGAAATTCTTAATTTACTGGTGAATACTAGCATTTCTGTAGAAGGACAGAGATCCAGAAAAAAAAATACCATTCAGAGAGTTATTGTAAACATAATCACCTTTTTCTTTTTCTTTTTCTTTTTTAAATCATAGCATATGTTTGCAGTTTCCTCTTCCAAGGCTTTGGCATTACAGAATAACTGCTGGTGTTTAGTCACTTTCTGCACCAGTGATTCCATCTGCTGGGATTCAATTGATTTTTCACATCTCAGCATAAGAAGGCCCGGGCTGTGCCCTCTTGCCTGCAAGTGTGTGTGGTGGCAACTGCAGTAGGGGATGTCAAAGCAAGGGCTTTTAGGACAAGAGGAACAAGGGTGGAAAATGCCACAAAGAGCTTCTAGGTTTTGCAAAAACTGCAGGTATTTTCTTGTTTCAGAAGCTCGAAATGTGGATTTCACACATTAAGAGGATTTTTTCTTCTTACTAATGCTTAAAAAAAATGCATTAGTGTTCCTTAGATTGAAGAAAAATTTCTTCCCTTGTACAGTTGGATTATATCCTCAAGACTTTAAGCATTACATCAATTGATATTATTTTCTTATCTTATTGAAATATATTCCTGAGAAGACCAGAAGTTTAGTCATTTAGTCATGGATGTGGGAGCAAAGGGGTTGATGCTATGTTGACTGAGATTTGTCTTTCCTAGTGCCATCAGGCACTATTGGTATTAACTGCATTTAATTGCTGTCAGAAATCTTAAAATTTTTGAATAGGCTGAGAAGAATAATAATTGGTTCTTCCTGGGTGCTGTTGCTCTCTTTTGCACTTCTCTGATTTTATGGTTTCCCTATACATATGTCTGTGTGTGTGTGTGTGTGTGTGCTTTTTAACCAAAAAAACAGAGAACCAGCAAAAGATGATTTATGTGTAGATTCACTGAGCAGCAAGATCTAAAGGGGCTGGACATAAAAACAGCAACAACACCCTGGTACTAGTAGGCTAACAAATTTGAATACGGAGGAGGCATGTAGTAACTTGGAATCCAAGTTGTATCAACAAGCAACATGGCACTGGTAGGGATGAATGTAAATCTCCTAAGAAGGAGAGACATCATCAAGTGTACGTTGAAAGAGAGAGTGTAGTCCATAGGGAATAGGTTAGAAGGAAGAAGTATGCTGTGGAAATAGAGAACTGAAGAAACAGTGGCCAAAAGCTGTGCTAAACTTGATTTTGCCATTTGCTTGTATACAGAGTTTTTTAGCTTCACAAACAGAAATTGAACGGGGCGGCAATGTTCTGCTCAGTCTTTTCTGAGGAGCGCACACACATTAAGCAGAGGGACGTGTGATGGCATTGCAAAGCAGCTGAACAGGCAAACCCACCCTATAAGTACTGAGAAGTGCTCCAATAGGAGGTGTAATACCAGTACTTCCTTGCGCTTTCTCCCTACTCCAAAATCTAAGCTGACGGATAGTAATTAACCCCTGAGGGGGCTTGTTTAATTTGCTAGTGGAATATCAATAAAAACGCTGACCCATAAGCTCTCTGGCTCATCATTTAGAGATTCCTCTGCAGTATGGCTTTCATTTGTTCTCATCCCTGAGAGCAGTAACCTGCTTGAAACTAAGCTAATTTTGTTTGAGCAGGATGCTTATTTGCACTTGCAACTGGGAGGAGCCTAAATAGTTTGGCTGCTAGCAACAGATGTGGAATAAATTGGACTTTGTGTGGACTGGACTCTCAGCCATAGCCAAGAAGAACAGTGTTCAGGAAAAAAGGGCAAGACTTGTGTATGTAGAACTTCTACCTCTCTTACTGTCTCATTTGGAAGATATTTCACAAAATTAGGAGACAGTTACGGAATGACAAAAAGAAAAAGCATAGAAGAGATAGTAAATGGTCTCAGAGTTAACCAAGGTGAATTTACTGCCACGGGATTTCTTTCAGTCTCAGTGTTGCTCAGAAAATTAGTGGTCATCTGACTTCAATCTGTCTAACTTTTAGTTGTCTATGAAGGAACAATAATAATAATGTTGTTTCAGCTGGTGGAGGCTTTGTATGTGAAAATACATGCAATCTCACTGTAAAACACTGCAGACCTGAAGACATAAAAATCAGTAATTTTACTCCCAGTTCAGGAATGGAGAGCATATGAATATAAGGTTTGGAATGATCCATTCAGTGAATAGCATTTAATATGTAAACATTTGCTGAATGAGGCAATGATTTTATGGGGAAAAGAGAGATGATCATGACATTTAGGATTGTAGCAAACTGCCATTTCATGGAGAAAATGAAGTTTTCTCCATGAAGTTGTGTTTCCTTTGTCTTACTGCGGATTTGTGACTGAATGGTTTAGCAATTTTTTTGTACTTCAAGATTAGTATTGCATATATATATTTAATTACATACTATGCACACAGAGATAAAGAGATGGGAAGTTTTACTGTATATATATATATATGTACACATTTTTATGACATATTTTGCATGTTTTTTGTGCATATGTGTAGTGCTCGGTGTGGAGTGTCAGCATGCGACAGCACTGTTGCACCCACCAAGAAGCAGATAGCAGGATTCACTCAAGCTGTAGTCAGGCTTTGCTCAAAGTTTCCCTGGGCTCGATGCAGAATTGTTTGAGCGATG